TAGTGTATGAGACAATTTAGTGACTAATTTAATGTAGATGAACTTTTAGAATCAAACAGTTTTTTGGAATGACTTTCAGTAAGTGACTATGCTATAGTATTTTAGTAACCTCTAGCAAGACCTTCTCATATTAATATTATTCTGCGAGCTGGTATTATGAAGTGTAAATTATATTGAGTTCGTAATTACCCGTGCCGATAAAGAGTACATCATAAGCCTTCCCCCCTGGCGTCTTCACTTGAGGATCTACTGCGATTTGCGTAAATCTGTAGCTGGAAGAAGAAAATTCATGATTAATTCAAGTTATTGTATAAAAGTTGTAAGTATAAAAGTTGGCATAGACTTAGAGGATAGTCTGGAAGAACACATAGGCTACTTTCTTTTGTTTTTATTAATAACACGCGGACGGAGTCATGGGCGGAAGCTAGTAAAGATAAAAAGCTAGTAAAGAAATAAAAATAATATTTAAAGACTTACTGAAAACTCGTTCTTATGACTATCGGCTCCCCAAAGAACGTGGGGACGGACTCGTCCATGAGGGCATGTGCCTTGATGAAGTTTAGTGTCTGGTCGGGTAACTGCCGCGAGTCGTTATTGCACGTGCCGGGGCGAGGCTCGGGCACCTGTCGGATATAACACAAACTTTGTAATATCTGAATACTCTCACGGAACTACACTAACAAAATTAGTGCATTTGTCTAACAAATATTTATCCTTCACACAAAAAATAGACATAGCATGGCTGTACGCAAAGAGTTAAGAAGTATAAAGAGGTGGCATAGTTGACACTTGGAACATTTTTCACAGAATTTCAGTAACGCTATCTATACTAATATAATAAAGTGTAAACACACACTACTTTGTGGCGTAAGATGTCAGGAATCACAGTATATTTTTGAATAATTCTTTCTTTAATAAAAAAGCCTTACACTTACGTTACGCTTTAGGCTATATATTTTCACGCTATTAAACTTAGGGGGTAAATAAATTGGAAACAAACTTCATGTGGGAAAGAGACCATAAGCTACAAGCTGCCAGCATCAAGGATGTAAGATTGCTATGGTTTGTCATCATGTCATGTCATATTGACAATTGCTTTTGATAATATGACAAATGTAAACAATAAAATAAAATTTTCATAATTTCATGCGGTTGAAGCCGCACGGGAACAGCTAGTGCATGAATAGATATTTAAAACCATATGCCAATATTTTAAATCAATTGCCAATAGGTATTATTAAAGAATATTCGAATGTTAATACTTTAGTTTGTAACAATTTAGTTTATTTTACAACAAACATGGAGCTAATTATTTTGTTAAATTTTTATTACATGTCAATATAAGGACACGGGTGACAGTAAACTTGACTACTGATATAGTACCTTTCGGAGAAAGTGCCGGTAAATAATCTTCAGAATGCCTCTTCTATACATACTTAATCTTTGGTTGTACGTTCTATGACAAAATTAACTGCACGGTATTAAAAGCAAAGAATCAAAAACAATTGATAGACGTAAAAAGATACCTTAGCACTGTTTACTGGTAGCCAGTTTGAGTTGATCGCACTTTGTTCTTTGAATGTTCCTTCAAACGTGTCAGCGATGTCCTGCATACTGAAGGCGCACACGGCACTGCCAGATATGCTGTTAGGTGGCGTTGTGAATGTGCCGTAGATCAACTGGGCATTGAGTCCCCCATACACGCCCTCTATAAGCTCTGTTGTAGACTCTGAAAGTTTAAAAATAAACAAATAGTTAAACATAAAGAGTTTTGTGTTCCAAATAGATTAGATAATTGCAGATGTGATTGACTTTTTAATCCTGTCCCCTTATAATGCAACATCTTTAATCATACTAGTATAACTAAACGATTCAGAGTATTGTAATGGGTTTTTAAGCGTAGTAGATTTGTCCTACTTAAATGACTGTCCACTGACAGTGATGTTAAAATCGTTCGCACACCTGAAATTATCGCACAACTGTCTAGTCGCGCTCTCATTCCTATGAGATTATGTGGAGACGGACATACTACTCGATTTTTAATTTTGCAACTAAGTTAATTTGCTGCGAAACAATCGACAATCGCAAAACAGTTGTGCGATAGTTTAGTCAAAGGTG